TATATCTATTTTCTACAGCAATATTTTATACTGTTTCCATTAAGCAATTTTGTTTTGCGAAAATAATTGCCACAACCTTTCACAGAACAGGACATTGTGTATGTAACACCGAACATTAATATCGTGTCAAGCATCAGGAGCCGCCATGTTTTCGTTTGGGCGGTCTGATTGGCCCTGAGAGTGACGTCACACTTTGACTGCGCAGTGGGTATCCACGGCGTGAGCATACCCTTATCCTTATACCATGACCGCAACTGGATAAGCTGCAGTCGCTGTACCGCATAAAAAATTCATCATTTGAATGTTTAAACTGTTAAGCAATTCCAAATAAATGTTTTTCACATACAGCCTGCGAAGATTTTATAATAATATTACGTCTCCTTAAAGCTGCTTGCCACATATCTCGAAGTTTTTTATCTCTTAGAACATAAAACAAATGTACTTTTTCTTTATTTGATTTGTAACCGGATGTACAACCTAATACAATGCAACTCGTCATAATTGGATTTAATATGTTTAACACGTGAAACAACAGTAATTTTATATTAAATTATTTTTTAAACTAAAAAAAATTTTTAACTTAGTGTCGTTTTTATGCTTGCTAGGGTGGCCATAATATGTTTAACACTTATAACAACGGTAACGACTAGATTCGCAAACACATAGGATCGCGGACTTTCGGAGATCGAAGATCGCGAATAAACGGGATAACAAAACCGAAATCCAACACCACCGACATAACCTAATCGAAGTAAATGACGTAAACATCTAGGCTAGGTTCGGGGAGATGCTATTACCCCGGATCTACAATAGGGTTTTAAGCCTTAAGCCATAAGAAATGGGCGAATCACAGTCGCTTATTCTTCTCGGATTCGACTGTAATTGGTCAATTTCTTACGGCATAAGGCATAAAACACCTATTGTAGATCCGGACTTAGCGCTATTTTTGTCATTCTATCTTTATCGCCCATTAAACATGAAACAAGGACAGTATGACACAAATAGCATTGATAGCGCGCTGCCCGAACACAGCCCTAGAATACGCATGAGTCGTAATATTAATTTGTTATCGTCATCTGGTGGTTTGGTGACATTCCGTGGTCACGCCAAACTCAAGAAATGAATGGGAGTGTTAGAGGGCTGGTCAGGAGCCTTAAAGCGTTTTTTGATTGGTCAATTTGTAAAATTCTTTTTTTTTTTTGATTGATCAAACAAACTTATTTGAAAGCATTTGTAACAAGACTTTGACCATAACCATATATAAAAAGTACCAGTATGCATATTTCATACGCAATTAATCCGAATTGTCATTGCAAAATCATTAGTACATACTTTTTCCTTGTACTTTGTATGAGGCATTTCTAATGAATCAAGTACCGTCTGAATGAGATACGTGGAGATGTAGAAAAACATCGTATGCATTCACAATCAGTACAAAAAGCTTCACTTTCATAATATTAATTTTGTAGGAAAATCGTTAGATATTGAATGCAGAATATTTCAAGAGTAAACAAGCATATGCTGCATTTTGTACAAACATCAAATTCGCATATAAATACGAGCAATATAAATTCATAGCAAGATCTCGCTTAAATAAAAATCATGTTGTTTCACTGCTTTCATTAAGTGCATATCGCGAGAATAAGGCAAATTTAGATTACAAAGTTAAAATTATAATTTATGCCTATCTCTTATGTAATAATTTATATTTATTATTATTATCATCGTCAGTACTTTATCACAAGCCAATAGTGTATTAAACACTTAAAATACTGTCAGTAGCTTAAAAGCTGCACAAAGCGTTGATAGAATAAGGACGTTTAATCTGATCTTATATCTTAGGTTGTATTTTGGAAAGATCAATCACAATATACACTACTCAACAAAATCTAGGGAACACTTTCAAACACGCTAAAAATTGAGCAATATTCAGAACACCAGAATTCAATAAAAAATCATCGCAGACAAAAAATTAAAAAAGGATTTTAAAGGTTCAAATCTCTACTTTCGAAATCTATAATTGAAATTTCAATATGACTGATACTTTACGGAGTTATACGGACACAAATGGATATCCGTCAAATCTAAAAATTTTTTACAAACTTTACAAAGGTCTATGGCGTGA